GGGCCATCAGCCCACAGTGGGTTGGGCCCTGGGCCCGAGATTCAGGCCCATTTGTGGGCTCTGATGAAGTCTACTCATAGCCGCGGTTGTGGTTATGCCGCAGCCTAGGGATAACGTAGGGGGTGTCGGTCTAACACGACCCTTAAAATATTTTAATACGTGGGGAATCTCTCATTTCCAATACCTAATTATCTATATACAATCAAATTTCATTAAATTTCATAAGGAATGTAGCCGAATCAAAGAATATGTTAAAGGTATACCAAAACACTTTTTAATAGTTAGTTAACTAAAGAATTCAGATAAGTCATCATTTTATCCATCCTTTTCGGGAAAGTTATGCAAAATAATGAGCTTGGCGGGACTCATGGGAGTCCCGTGGGAGTGGGACTAAATTTTTACTAGTCCCATGGGAGATGTCAATGTCTAATTATCATACATAAACTTATTCCCAAGAGCTGGATTACATATTTACGTATACCTTAGTTTACTTTAATAGCATACTTATAGAACCACGATTTAAAAAGTGTATCTGCGATAATTAGCTAGTTGCTAGGGCTTTGAGGCCTGTGAGGGTGACGGCTGCGAGTGTTATCTCCTGAGCCAAGGACTTCCCGATACGGACTTCCGATACGAACTTCCCAGTACGGAAAACCCTTCCAGAATGCATTCCAGCCTGAGGCAGAGCCTCAGTTAGTACATAGAGGCCTTCGATTCTCGCTCCTAGATAGCCTTTGTTCTCCATGGGAAAATTCCTTGACTACGAGTCATAAACAAACTAGCCTTTTACTAGGCTCCTTTGTAGATCGTCACAGACTGGGCGAACCACAGGTCGTACAGACCAATTGTTTTCCTCTCAGTCCTAGGCAAAGGCCTGGAACGCCTGATAGCACGGAATATGGCATAGATTGCTATTTCCTACAAAGTTCTGGCTAGCTAACAATTTGGGCCTTACCCCTCCGTTCTGCTGTTGATCTTGCTACCTGCCTGCTGCATGATGTGGAGCAAGCCTTAAACCAGGGCAAGACAGCTTCCTTTTTAACCTTCGATATTAAAGGGGCATTTGATGGTGTTCTTCCCAGCAGACTGGTGCACAGACTACGCACGCAAGGCTGGCCTGATAACCTAGTTCGCTGTGTAGCCTCCTTTATCACAGAGCGTACAATTCAAATCCGACTAGATGGAGAACTAGGGCCTAGGATTAAGATACTCTGTGGCTTACCACAAGGCTCGCCGATATACCCTATCCTGTTCATGTTCTATCTGGCCCTTCTATTCTGGATGGCAAACCAACGGCTAGATTCGGTTACGCAGATGATGGAGCCTTCCTGGCAACATCCTTATCCCTAGAGGCAAATGCTCAAAACCTATCAGATTCCCGCATGAAGCCCTGGACTGGGGTCTTGCACAAGGAATTACCTTTTCACCAGATAAATATGAGCTGATACACTTCTCGCGACGTTTAGCTGATCAAGTCCCTAGCCGCACACTATCAGTGGCAGGGGGGGCTGTCACAATTTCAGAGAATAGATCACCCCCGTATTTACGCTGGCTAGGAATCTTTTTCGACAAAAAGCTCAGCTTGAAACATCATGTCAGCGAAATGGTTTCAAAAGTTATAATAGTCGCGAATGCACTACGTTCCCTTGGAAACACAGTGCGCGGAGTCAACCCTTACCTTATACAGCAAGCTGTTAAGACCTGTATACTCCGCAGAGTCTATTATGGTGCGGAAACCTGGTGGCCAGGGAGTGAGCGACCTGGCCCCCATACGAGGATAATCTCAAACAAGGTCCAAAGCCACCTTGATAAGATAACCCGGGTAATACTAGCTGGGGCCAGAGCAATCCTCCCAGTTCACCGCACGACCCTACCTCTGCACTCTACCGGGAGTCAGGGCTTCTGCCAGCAGAGATTGAGCTAGACTATATAGCTGCTACCGCTACAGTCCGCGTCCGCCGCTTTGACCCCTACCACCCTCTCCGCAGGAGGGCAGAAAGAGCAACCCGAACTGGCCTTCAGACCAGCCGTTTTGCACGTCGCGTGTTAGCTCTCCCTGAATCAGAACAACTGAACCTACTGCAAAACGCTCCCTGGATCCTACAAGAGGCACGCGAAGCAGCTCAACAGCGAATCAGAACCCCTACAGGCATGTCTAAGGAGCAAGCAGCTGATAGATTTCAAAGATTCTATGTCTCTCTCCCACTGACCGATATAAAGGTCTTTACAGATGTCTCAAAACTAGAGAACAGGATGGCAGGAAGTGGATATGCCTTGTATCAATCTGGAACGCTGTTTCAGCAGTCCTCCTTCCCCCTGGGACCGAATAAAGAGGTCTTTGATGCTGAAGTTGAAGCAGCTCTAGCTGGGGTTAAAGCAGCCTTTAAACTAGGTACTGCTTGTTTTGCTACTGATCTCTGGGTTTGTCTAGATAACCTGGAGGTGGCTACGCGCCTTCTTTCACCTTTCACGGGCTCATCCCAAGAAGTCTTCGAATCCTTCCAAGCCCTAGCCCAGAACTGGCTGGCACGGGAGAGATTCTCATGTACCAATGGTGGCTCTATACGCGTCTGCTAGGTCCCTGGTCACACACAAATACCTGTGAATGAGGCAGCTGGTCAAGCTGCAAAGAAAGGTGCTGCTATGGACCCTCTCTCCACAAGTAAACACTCTTACGCCTCGCTGAGGCGGCGGGCTAAGGCAGACGTCATGACATCTCTTCAAAGATACTGGCAGTCTACGGCCCCTCAATCCTATCAAAACCTTTGGATTACCAACTTCCCTAGATGTCCTGCTAAGCTAAAGCTCCCAAGACCGCTTCTAGCAAGGATTCTAGTTGCTCGTACGGCCATGGAGACTTTGCAGCCTATCACGAACGGTTCAACCATAAAGATGCCTATCTCCTCTGTCGCTCCGGTACAAGAAAGACTACAGTTCACTTCCTCTTCTGCTGCATTGCAAAGAGGCGCCTGTCCCGATCTGCAGAGTCCCCTTCTGACATAATCCCCTCCCTGCTAGGCACCCCAAAAGGTGCTACCGAGCTGGCTGCGTGGCTTTCAGAAACTCGTTTCTTCGATGATATATGCACTCGGCATCCATTACCTCAACCAGACTGAGATCCCCCCGCCCCCCGGCCACAAAAAAAAAAAATAGAGGTAGTAGGATAGGTCATGGAGATTAGAAGGACCTCTGTAGCTGGCATTAACTTCTGCCTGATCCACAGGCTCTGCTTCTTCACTGCAGCAGCTATTTAAAGCGCTAAAGTCCCTATTTGTACTTAGAACTAGAACTAGAACTAGTTAGTGACGCCCAGGGCTTACCCCCTGGCGGCCATTGCCCCAGCAGGGAACGGCGGGACACCTGCTTAGGCAGTGAACTGCGGCCGTAAAATTTAACTAACTAACTAACCTAGGAACTGATAGGGGCCTGAGGCTAGGCCTCAGGCCGACGACACACGGTCTGTCATAGCCCTAGGGGCTCGTTATGGACAATAAACTTGATTAAATAATAATAATAATAATCCACAGGAACGTTCTTCCGTACCGGGAAGCTCTCTGGCTCAGGAGGTGACACTTAGGAGGTGACAGACAATGGCTGAGGCATCTGCCGGAGCGCCTACCATTTCTAGTAGCTCTGTAGGACATTACTGACTAAGCTACTAAAAAGACCAGAATACCAAGTCCTTGACTTGGTGCGCGCATCACTCTGTGTAGTGGTTCTTGGCCAGTTCGTTACAGAGCGCAGGTCCTGACACTATAGGATCCAGCGTTTATTACGATAAAATTGGTCGACGGAAACAGGGGTAGGGAGCTTGAAGCAAACTGCCGACATGTTACAGCTTTATTTTCATTCCACTTGTTGGTTTGGTAGATTAGGAGGGCAATTTGTGACGGACGGAGGGGCTCGGGTCTAGCGGAGTATAGAGAGATGACTTGGGCGCTACTGGAGTCGGCAGTGGAGAAACCGGTTGGATGCTCGATCGTAGACCGACAAATTCCTTGATTCTGGCAGGATCGGCACACCGCTGAAATAATGTCTTACTACACATAGCACGTCGCCAAATATCCTCCCACCAATTTCTCCGCCAAATTGATCAGCATTAGCGGGGTAGATGTAACGCTACCCGGAGGATGTCTTGGATGCGCAGTACACCAATGGCGGCGATGCGCATGTCTCACTTGCCACGGACTGCTGGGCGGTGGACTGACACTCCAAGACATGACATGTCTTAGACCAAAAGGCTTCCCGGATGCACTCACTCCATGGCTACATCATCGTTACTACCTGTGGTCTGAATAGGAGGTCTATATAAAGGCCGCCTATTCTTCTACTTGTCGGAAGAAAACAGATAAATCTCAAGATCGCATTGAAAACGGCACAAAGGTAGAAGAATACAAAATGAAGACCTCCCTGATCACATTTGGTGCCTTCCTCGGCCTGGTCTCGGCCCAGAATGCCGTTGTGCACAACCATTGTGCCACCTCCGTTTATGTGCAGTCATTCCCTTATGATGGCAGTGCCGCCGGCCCTCTTACCACGGTTGCAAAGGGAAAGACTTTCTCCGAGAAATTTTACACATCTGGCTCGGTACGCTTTTCCTTTCTCTTCTTCAGTTAGCACAATGTTCCATACGGCGAGGGAGACTGACTAGAGATGGAATCCGCAGACCGTGAAGATCGCCAAGACAAAGACGCTGGATAAGCCTCTCTTTTTCGGCTATTCATTCTCCTCTAACCCGGACTACGCATACTGTGAGTGTACCCGTTCTATGTGTCAGCTAAGAGACCACTGTATTAACTAACCCTTTTCTAGATGAGCTGAACACGGAATGGGGCAACCCCTTTGCAGCAAGTCCCAATTCACTCAGTCCCGGGGACGGCTGTGAAGTATTTGACTGCGCAGCCAATGACGCCACCTGCTACAGTACACCGGCTCATAAGAAGGTATATGGATGTCCCCAGCCCGTCACTCTAACGGTGGACCTGTGTCAGTAACCTTCTCGCATATGTTCTGTCATGTTATCTCTTGCTTTTTTCTTGTCGCTGTCTCAGCCTGGCACGCCCATCTTCAAGATGACTTCGTGTTTAAACAAGACAGCCACTGGTCGTGGCGCTAAGGCAATATGGGATACTATAAATAATTATAATAACGGACAAATCAAACACAGACCTTCCAAATAAGTACCATTGTGGAGAAATATCAGTCTCATCAATGGGTTCAAGAACTAGATGTAAAAGGCCTGCAAGATTTCCTATAGTGCAACATTATCTAGAGGTAGGGACCGAACCTGCTACTCAGCAGTTTGGTGCGGGTTTGCATGCAGGTTTGCCGTACGCAATGCTAAATCCACCACTTTTACAACCGATCTCCCTGTAAGGTGGGCTTTTCAAGGAAAAAGAAAATTTTTGAATAAGAATTAAAATTTTAAAACTTTAGTAGCCTCTGCTTTATACAGCTTTCCCTTTATATCATAAGATTGTCCGAATAGCTAGAGGCTAAGTCGAGTAGCAATGTTGTTATCATTATTATGCCAGACTCTTATCTATACTCAGATAGGTAAGCTAGCGGAAATGAAACGGCGCATCAGCACAGCCGCAATTCGTTGTAAAATCTAAGCTTCTGATTATTTCATTATTTGGACCCTGCTCCGCGGAACACTGCCTTCACCCGGTCATATAGAATTCGCACATGATGCATGTTCGCGGGGCCCCGACTTCTCGTCCGGATAAAATGTGGTTCTCTTGGGGTCACTGAAAGTACCGGTTCAAGTTTAGTCTCAAGCCCTTAGATCTGATTGAGGGCCGGGTGTAAACGGGCATATTAGGAGAAAACTGGACATAATACCAACACACTCACCAGATCATCGGCCCAGAGTGAAATGTCCGATGAGAGTACAGTACGTCCGGCATCTTGCTTTGATTGAGTCTATCACGTGATAGCCATGTTACGATATGACACCGGTCTGAAGAGCCAGGGGTGGGAGAATAATGCGGGGGTAATTGGTGGGATTGGTGTTGGTACTCTATCTATGGTAAGTATTGACATCTCGAAACACAATGGGCCCTGATTAAAACAGCCTACTGATGCGCGTGGTCAAACCAAGACGCGCTATATATATCTGAAATTTCGCCACCCAACTTCCGAGGAACCCTTCTGGTGCTGGAATCAATATGTGTTGTTTCAGGTGCAGTCATTGCTTATTGGATAACATTCGGGACGAGATTGATAGAGAGCGAAGCCTCATTCCGTCTGCCCTTTGGCCTGCAGATGGTCAGTGCACTTCTTCTCGGCATCTGCATCCATTTCTTCCTTTACTCACCCCGTTGGCTGGCCCTCGTTGGCCGCTACCAAGACTGTCTCAAGAGCTTGAGTAAACTGCGCGGTTTACCAGAGACAGATATCGGTGCGCGAGGAAGAATCAATAACTGTTAAACGTTAGATCCCATCGGTCGAAATGATCTCGGGGTTGCGTTTGATATTGGTCGAAAGTGTTGAAATGGAGATACCGCGATCGGGCAATTTATCACGGGTCACGTCTCAGTAAACTCCGCGGCGATATCTGAATCTGTTCTATCCCACAGGCCGAAGAAAAGACGCCGTTCAATAGAGCGCCTTTTATGGAGTACGGATTTACGGATAAGCTTTCAACTATGCAATCAATCTCCTAGGCATGAACAGAACTTACAAGCCATCAGGACTAGCTTTTTCAATTGTTGCGTACAAGAGTATGGTATAAATATCCTACAACGTGCCGACCCGAGCTAACCACCGGGGAAAGCCAACCTCGATTGTAATTAGGCCTACCTCCGATCGGTCCAACAAACGTTGTCATCGGATATAAGCCATAGGCAGTTAGTCGGGATTCTCACTTGACCATATAACTAACATATTATCCGAAAGTTTGGTAATAAGTGGCCGACGTATATCTCGTATGGGTTTCTCCTATTACTTTCTTTCTATGTTTCGTTTCCATGCCATGAAGCACAAACTGCACAAACTTCTGATCTCTGGCGAATGTGCCGACTTCACCACTTTTGAACTAGACCTTGACAAAAAGGAATTGAATTTTCTAGGGAGCTACGCTGCACCTTCCAATTACTCCTGGGTAGAGCGCTCATCCCAGCATGAGAACATTGATTACCTGGTGGGTCTGTCAGAGGGCGTCGACTCCGGTCTCTTGTATAGCTTCGAAATTGATCACGCACAAAATACTTGTACAATTACCAGTCAGAAGCCAACCTTGGGAGCTCCTGGTTACTGTGGGTCTGCTCTTTTCAGACTATTGACCTTCTTTTCTTCATTTATCTGAACTAGTTCTCACGCTGCACGACGGTTCTGCACTCGCTCCGGGCACGGTGAATCTTCCTAGACGCTTATTCATGACCCATGCTAACAATAGCTAGTAGCTAGGAGATTCCATTCTTACATATCCCATCGATGTTACCAAAACCAGCGGATCACTGCTTTCGGATATCCCCCGAACGGAGATCTTTCCCAAATTCCCGTATGAGTTAGTTGGTCACGGCCCGAATGAAGGTCGACAACGACAATGCCATATTCACCAGATACTTGAAGACAGTCGAGGTCTGTTGTATTCTCCGGACTTGGGCTCGGACCGTGTGTGGATCATTCGTCGTGAAGCAATGACGCTTGAATTATACGGTTGGCTGCAATGTCCTGCTGGAACAGGCGCACGGCATGCCGTCATAACACCCAATGGCAAGTCTTCCCCATGTTATCTTGCAGTCCAGTACAGCTAACCGGACCAGAGATGATAATTTATGTCCTCGGTGAGCTCTCACACACAGTAATTGCATTTGATCTGTCAGCTGCTCCCGCAGAAGACATGCAGCCTATCGGTGGATTTGCACCCAACGTCATCCCCCCAACTGTTCACCCCGATCATCAGTTTATGATGGATTCCGCCGAAATTTGCCTTCACACTACAATTCCCAACATCCTGTATGTTAGTAACCGTTGGGAAAGACAGATTGCAGAACGTGAGCCTCATTTAAAAAAAGTTCCTAAGTTACTACCACCAGGAGACGATGTCGCCGTTATTTTGCTGTCGCAAGATGGTAGAAATGTTGATGTTATCCGCGGAATGCGGCTCAGTGATGACGGTCGATACGTGGTCGTGGTTTGGCAGGAAGATGGTGGTGTTGAGGTCTACGAGATCAGTGGAGAGAGAGGCGACTCGTGGACTCTCGTTGCTGATTTGTATGACCCCCTATAAAATAGAATTAAACTCGCCATATGGCTCTAGAGATAGACCCAACCTACGCAAGAAAACATGAGGTTTCTTTCACTTTGCCAAAGACAAAATTCTACTAAAGTTGCGATCTGAGGAAATAAAAATTTGAAAAGGCATATCCCTGCATATGTTTTCGAGATTACAGTGTACAATTTGGCTATAAGTGTATGTTTTGGAAGCTGATTTCTGAATATATGTTGTATGTGCCCATCTACGATGTCACTACCGCAGAAATGCCTCAAATTACTACTGTCGGTTGACTTGGTCATTGCCCTAAGCAGATATCCTATCGATTCAACTGAATGTAGGTATATGCTCGGTAGGTAAAAGTGAAGTGTTATTCTAAACTACTTGCTTCGTTGAAGATATATCAGCTGCCTATGCCAAGGAGTCACATGACTTAGGCATATCAGCTGAATAATGGTTCCAACAACTACATACAATCGGAGTACGGGATACTATTTTTCTCTGATATGATATAAAATATACGACCTACAAGGATACATCATTTTTAAACGACTTTTGGAGAGTGTTTAGGACCGGTACAATGCGCACATACATAATCGACAAAGATCATCACTCACCATGACTGGACTCAGACTTCCAGATCCTAGAAGTTAGGAATCATTAGTTCCCAATTCATAGAACTATTAAATATTATAAAACCATCTATAATAGATATTAGGTCCTCCCGATATCCAAATAATAACAGGTACGGGTCGCAGGAGCTAATATCAGTTCACGTTTTGTGGGAGAGTGCTGGGGTCTCGAGCTCGAGCTTTCTCGGCCACGGAATAAAACCTCCCTTGCTCCTCGATGGCCTTCACACCTTTTTGGTCCTATGACCTCATGCGTGACATCAGTATTTTTCACGTATGCGTCCATCTACTTAAACATAGATCAATAAGTGGCTGAAGTCAATCAACGCTCTGTAGGACAGAACCAAGAGAGACAAAACGTACAGACTGCGCCGTCTAGGTCGCTGCACCTCTGACCACGTTGTTTCTACAACCCTACTTACAAAAGCACAGAGGCACGATAGCACCGAGCCTGCTCTCTTCCACGCGAGAGTCTCTTCGAGATATAATGCTGAGTAAATCACCGACCACAACCTAGATTGCCGATGTAGCTGGATGTAGCCCGCGTTCTATCACTACGATCCGGGGTAACATGCGGCAATTTGGTGATATGCGAGCGTCTCTCAATTGAGTAGGCACATCATGAGGTATCACAGCCGCGATAATGGAGAGCCTTTGACCACTGACACGAGAAATCTAACTTTTACCTGGACGAGGTGGCTGGTTGGCGTATGGCTCCGGAGGGTAAGCAGTACGTCTAATTGATACCGGAGGCACGGAGGGGAGTATTGAAGATACTAATTGCTAAGCTCTACCCACGTGGGTCCAGTTCAAGTTATCGATAAAGTCTGCGGCTCACTTCATGAAACAGGCAATCACAAAGTCTGCGATAGACTTTGTTGTTTCACTCGGACATATGCCGGCCGCAAAGTCCATCAACAGTCCGTCGTGGGCTTCATTAGCCATATAGAGTGTCACATACCTTTCACCTTTTTTCTTCAGCATCGTACCCAAGCGTTGAATATGATCACTGAAGACTTCTTCATACCCACCAGTCACGAGAATGTGATCGACAGCCGAAACATTTTCCCACCAAGCTTCCGGCACATCAAGAGCCAATCCCCAGCCATTCCCTCCTGATATTTCTTCTTGCAACGGAGAGTTATCCACAAGATAAACCCCCCATTCATCAACAACCTTCCGGTTCAGAACATCGGCACTAAACTACATACGATAGGATGAGGTACTGATGTTCAAGGATGCTAGCGGAGACACAAGGAAGCAGCCTCTTACAGTCCCATGCCAGTTAATCGAACTCTCTATTGTGAGGTCGGTTGGACGCAAACGATGCAAATGTGCCATCAGGCTCAAAGACAGATGGCCTCCTGCAGAGTCGCCTCCGAAGACGATCTAATGAAGAATAAGATCAGATCTGTGATGGACAACTGTGTAATGAAATGATACTTCTGATGGCCTGTATCCAGAACTTACAAGATGATTGAGTGCAAAAACACCCTGCAGCATCTGCCGAGGATATGGGTTGGCAGGAATTAAATCTGAAATTTGAGAGCCTGTCCTCTTCTTTGATAGAAGTGTGTGTTTGTTTACAAACCGTATTCAAGAATGCACACACTGAGTTGAATCCCAGCATCGTGTGCCTCGTTCCTGACGTGTGCCATCCAGTCTAAATGCCCTTCGGAAAGGGGCATGACATACCCATCACCTAAGAATTCGTTGAGACTCGAGACTTTGACACGAGGGCATTATATCATACCGTGGGAAAAAAAAGGACGACCTTCTTTGCATTCCTCGTCCCAACCCATAATAAACGGGTTGACCTGTCAGCCTCAAGAATAACTACCGCACGGGTGGTACCATGAAATGAGACCCATGCATTATATGTTCCAAAGTGGATGGTAAAATAGCCTGGAGCTGTCGAGGAGGAGTGATGGCCATCAGGGTTCAAAATTGAGTAACGGGGCTACCAACCAGGCATAGCCCCGGCTTTTTGAACGGATGACTGTGAACGATCTTTTTAGCCAGCCAAGTCGGAGATTCGGAACAGACCCGACGTATGCCGGCAGGTTGTCTGTCCCCCCGGGAGAGTTCGGACTAGCCTGATCCCGATCGGGCATTCATTTAGAGTGTGCATTGTGGTTGATTTGCCATACTCAAACAAAAATGGACTCATCCATATGGTCGGTGCAACGGGAAGAATGTTACAATTTTGGGTCAAACGGTGGTGTCATAACCACATATCTCTAATCTTCATTGATTTAAGCGGTAACCTGATATATGTTTTCTTGGGTACTGGCCCAATTTGAAGATGACCCGTCCCAGCTCATTTCATCGACATCAATAATGTTACTGTCGGTTGACTTAGTCATTGCCCTAAGCAGATATCCTATCGATTCAACTGAATGTAGGTATATGCTCGGTAGGTAAAAGTGAAGTGTCATTTCTAAACTACAATCTGCCTAGCTATTTATAGTTCCACTTGTTTACACCTATGCAATCCTGATCCCTTGGTATGCCATTTGGAATGGTAGGCCAAGTCTAGGCCAAGCAAGGTGCTGTGCGGTATGTGGATTAGGTCAAGATACTCTACCTCTCTGGTCTGTTTGATAACATCATTCCAACAGTTACACTATTAGATAGGGAATTATCCGCAAAGTAGACTTCACAAGTACTTCTGAAATCGTATTGACGACAGCAGTTCCCTCATTCTGTTCAAATTCCGAGACACAATTAGCTAGTGATAAGGGTAGTTTTGCATTGTATTTTTTTAACCAGAGTCGAATGCTTACTAAGGCTCCAAATAATCATCTAGATATGCGGAACAAATAGATGTAAACATCGCTGCAGTCACTCCAGGTACTCGAGGCTGCGAAATTATTTTTTCTAATGAAAACCCCCATATATAAATGACCCTCGCCATCATTCACGTCGATAGAGAACGCGCGGACTCCATCGACGTGCTCGTCACAACTACTACACGGCGAGTCAAAACATTCTCTCCACCAGATCTTCCCACTGTCCATATCTAACCAACTATAAGCGGGAAGTCATTTCGAATTCAATGTTGGCAATGCTTACCTGCTCTGCGGCCCATCCGGAGTCGAGGCTACGGACGAAGTCATGAATGAAAGCTTTCTCGACGGTCACCTCTGCAGCTGCAGCCTGCTGTTCGGTGGGAACCACCCTTTATAAAAAGGTCTCATTTTATGATCCAGCGCCCATAATCTGAGCTTCAAGGATCGGCTAGAGTTGTCCATCTGGGTTTCGGATGCCAGCGATATAACGGCTACGAATGCGGACGCGGCCGAAGAGCGTGTCGTTTTGCTCGAACTCGGTCCAGTCCAGCGGACGACGCTCTCATTCTCCTTTCAATCCACCCTTTATGACAGGTTCAAGAGTCAAGACTGTAGTACTGTCTGCGACAGAGACCTGGGTGATCCTGAGGGTAGATGTCGAGACCGACATGGCTCTCCTAGCTACCCAACCAATTCCTTGCTGATTGCTCTTTCGCTTTGCCAGGCTTCCATTATTGGAACACTAGACGGTTTTACCATTTTGAGCACTCTATCCAAACCGGTTGAGCACTTATCCTATTTCGCGATTGTATAGTCAGCGGAATGTCACTTAGGTTGTAATCCGGGATTGCATAGCATGCGAGGTAAGTTTACCATGATCCAGTTGCCGCTTAGGCTGCGTGTGTTTACCTGATTCTGAGAAGCCATAGCCCGGCAACTGCAGTTCTCTGAGGAGTCAATGGACAAAGACGAAACGCGGAAATTGAAGAGAGTCCCGTTCGGTCGGCAATGCGGCAGAGACACTCGTAGGGCGGAGAGGGTAAATACTTCCCGCTGTTGTGGTGTTGTTCTCTGTAATATCAACACTCCGGAACCATCCGTAATGGCTTACCTGTCAGTCGGGTCCCTTCCAGCCTGGGCGTGGATCAACCGAGGGCAGGCAGTGAGAGAGGAAACCTTCCCTCGAGCGCGATCACGTTTAAAATAAAGTACTTCAAGAAACTTCTCCACCTGGTAAACCGGGTCCTTCGCGTCCCTCCGCCATGAAATATCGAAATGTCTACCGAACGCTGGATTATTCCCCGCAAAGGCCTATACATCGATCCGATAGTCATTATTATTTGGGAAACCCTCCTCCATTTCATCTTTACCTTGATTTGCCAATATTTGGTCCAAAGTGGCGGAGTTACGGTCGCGGCTCTGTGTAATAAGTTTGTCCGGTTGATAACAGCGGCCAGTCTTCTCCTAACTATGCTTTAATGATTGACTTAGCGCTAAAAGCCGGAATAACTGGGTAGTAGACAATACTTGGAACTGGAAGCAGGAAGTGGTAGTGGTAACTAGCGGGAGCGGTGGCATTGGTGGGGTAGTGGCTCAGCGCCTTGCTGTAATGAGGGCACAGGTGGTTGTGCTGGACATCGCCCCTCTAGCCTACGAATGTGGTATTTGAGTGGTTTGGCCAATAGATCCATGTTGATTTGATTCGCTAATATTCACTACAAGGAAACTCCCGGATCATATACCACGCATGTGACCTGAGCGAAGAGAAAGAAATCGCAGCCGCTTGCGAAAAGATTAGATCCCAAGTTAGCCATCCGACCGTACTAAGTGAGTGAAAGCAAATGACACCTCAGGTTCTCTGACTGCTAACGACAGTCAACAATGCCGGTCTGTCCCGCGGCCGTAATGTGGTCGAAGGTACATAAAGTGATAACAGTATAACTCTGAAAACCAACTTGCTAGCACCATTCCTGCTCACGAAAGAATTCCTCCCGGCCATGATCCGGCGGATTCATGGGAACATCTTCAATGTTGCCTCTATGAGTGCCTTCATCCCGCCGCCAGGAATTGCGGACTATACGGCTTCTAAAGCTGGATTGATTACGTTTTACGAGGCAGGCATTAAGAATAACTTCTCCCAGTCTGGGGTTACACGAGCTAATTTTTCCGGTGTCTTTCTCAAGAGCTTCGAGTCCAGAATGCACCCAAAGTCCGTACTTCTCTCGCATTTGGTAGCTCTCGATGCAGAATATGCAATAACAAACTCAATTACCCCAGATTCGCCCATATTTAAGCTCCCTTACTATAATTTACCGGCCATGAATTAAGTAGACTGATAATTTCGTACTTCTGAACTCTCGTCCAATTGACCCAGTATTTTTTTGGGGAATCTTTATCGTCTGAGGGCTATTCCTTAAATAGAAATTACCCGATCAAGATGAACTGCCTTACAGTCAACAGTTAACAGAAATAAATGATAACACGCCATCTATTCCGTATCGTTGAATATCAATGTCTTGTCAAAAGCAGAGGAACATTAAGTGGTAGCAAGACTAGGAGTACGTATATTTTCAGATTCATTCTTGATTGTTGACAAATGGTCATCCCGGATATGAACGATCTGAACTGTACTTCCAAGTGTACAGGAGCTTCAAATAGTCTCTTAATAGATCAACAAGAGCCGAACACTGTTTCAGCGAAATTGGAAACCGAAAATTTAGGGGCTCTAGTGCCTTCATCAGACAGTGATAGGCCAACCCCTGTCACCGAAACCTTGAGACTTAGTCTGCAGGAAAGACACATTACCATTTCCATAATATCAGAAGGCTCTAGAATAATAGGAGTAGACTATATACTTTTGTAATCAAAGAAGACCACTCCTTATGCCATTCTTTTAGTATTCTGTCAATAAAATATATTCCGAGGGAATGGACAAGGAAAACCCAGATTTGATTGAACATAGAAACCCGGATACAATACCAGATCTGGGCTTATGTTGATTGCCGACATGCGTCTTGAATCTTACGTCTCTTCGAAAATTCCGGAAATAGTACGTCGAGCAACAGATAGAATGTTGCAGGTATCACGAATCCAACAATTTGGGCACTTATAACGCCCACAATCTCAATCTGACCAGGCTTATACCGCGTACATACTTTAGTCCGCATTAGTTCAATCTGGTCGACCGTACGCATCTTCTCTCCTATATGTCGGGATTTCTTGGAAGGATAAAAGCTCTAGAGAAGAATTTTAAATAGATAGGGGCAGGGCCTCACTCATTGAAAAACTGATAAAGATATATATTGAACTGAAAATTGGTTCTGTTCCGGGCCGGTTCTACCGTCTACAACTGTTCGCAGAAACTCCAATGCTAAATAGACTGATTCGGTATATTTTTTAGAAGCCTCCAATGCCATTCTCATTATAAAAACACTAATCCACCTCTAGATTTGGTATCAGTTGAAGCAAATTCTTTTACCAACATGGCTCCAGCAAGTTTACCAGCACCTGCTTTGAGCAGGGCCCTTTCCTGGCATGTTGCAGTCAGATCGGTTGTATTGGCGCTGGGCTCAGTGCTATTGCACTTGGGGTAACACTGAAGCGATGGTACGACAATCAATCAATCAAAATTCTATTAACCTGATGAAGCCTATCTATTGAAACGACAGGCTATGCAGGCGCTTCGCCGA